CACCGTACTGCGCACCGAAAAAAAAATTGATTGTAATAGAAAAAAAAAAGAGAGAGAAAACGTATACATTATATTTTCGAAAACGTATACAGTCCGTGCATCGCACGGGTTACGTACTAGTGTGCAATGAAAATAAGTGGCAAAATTGTAATTAAAGTTGGACACTTGTCAGTTTTTTAACACACCAAAACTGGACACGTGTCGCCACCACAAAAGGCCTCACTTCTTCATATATAGATAAGAGAGATATATATATATGAAAAAAAAAAGGAATAAAATGTGAGTTCGCGAGGAGGTACGGACTAGGCTCCTCTTATCCCGAGCCACCTCGTGGAATGGGATAATGAGCTCGGAAAACCGGTCTAGGGAACTCGAGGAGATCCCTCGAGGTTAATCCTAGATAAGCATTATCTAGGAAACCTCGTTTGGAAAAAGAAGCTCACATGTATATATATATATAGAAAGCAAAACAATCAACAAAAGAATGGGAGTTGGCTTATTGGTTCGTGCTTGTCGTATTTTACATGTTAGTAAACCTCATTTAGCTTTTTGCACGTGTATGTAGAAAAAGGAAGCTTAAATCGAGAAAATCATGTGTATGATAACATGGGACGGGTTGTTGTTTTGTATGGATTCATTATGTTGGGAACGTGTTTTCGGATTGGAGTTTCATTTTATGGATAACCGGATGAAGACGAGAGTTCCATTTCGCACGCTCGTTAATTTTGGACTTCTCAATTTTTCTTTTCGAGCTACTTGTTGTTTTGTTTGCTTGAGGACAAACAAAGAGTTAAGTGTGGAGGAGTTGTTTATTGTGTTTTTGTACTTATTTTCGTGTGTTTTATGTGCTTTAGTTTAGTGTTTTTGGGTTCATTTTAGTGTCGATCGGTCCATTTTATCGTGTTTCATGTATTTTTGCTCTCGTATTGTGTTTTTTTGGTTCGGCGTATTTTTTTTTGTCTTTTTGGTGTTGAATAGGTCCGTCATTACTATGCTTGGGGAAACGAGCCATTTTCCAGATATTTCCGAACCGTCCGAACCATGTCCTAGCCGCGCGAACCATTTTCGTGCCATTCCGAGAATATTTATTAATTGCGTGGTGGCACACATTTACACATATCAAGACGAGGAGAAGAAGATTTGAGAAGCGTGAGTCAAAGTTTCAAGTCAATCAGAGAAGCGTGCGAGAAGTTAGGACGAATCGAGCATCAAAAGGTCACCGGGACCATTCCCAGCATCTCGAGCCCGCGCCCGCGAAGGCCTCGGTGCTCGCGAGTTCCCCCAGGCGAGCCCAGTGCTCGCGAAACTCCACTCCACGCCCGCGAAGCCCTGCTAGCCCGCGATTGTCGTCAGCCAGCGCCCAGTGCCCACAAGTTCAAATTCCACACGCGCGAAGCTCTGTGTTGCGCGCGAGTTCCCACATGACGTGCCCCTGCTCGGGAGTCCACATACCCGCGACAACGAAACACCTTCTAGGCCGCGAGTTCCCAGATGCCCCAAGCCACACTCGCGAGCTCTTTTGTAGCCCATGAAATCCAGCTTTTGCTCGCGAAACCCACTTAACTTGCGAGTTCTGATCATTAAATGTGTGTGTTTTAGTGTGTATTGTGGTGTAGCTATAAATAGACATTGTGCTTTGTAATTTTGTATATCACCCCTCATTTCCCAACTTTTAAGTTGGGAAATCCTCTCTATTTTCTCTGTTTTATTTTTGTCTTTGGTTTGGAGGTCCATGACTCTATTTTCCCGGCGAAATTCCGGCAAGCTTATTTTTATCCAAGTCTCGAGCTTTATTCACTATTTTCGTCCGAGCATGCGATGGATAGTAGGTACCTTGCTTAGGCCTTACTACTTCGACTTTATCTTTCGAATTGTGTGTTTATGCTCGTTTCTAGATTTTTACTTTATTTTTATTGCTTGCTTACGTGTGTTAGGAATCTATACGTGCTTATCTAGTATAAAGGTCACGACTTTGTTGAAAGCGTGATGATTTGGTGTAGAAAGCTCGTGTTAGATTACCTAGGATCACTATGCTCGCATGTTTTCTCTTGTTTTCCTTTATTTTCTCGAGTTATGGAGACTCCGTGCAACCAATGTTTTGATCTTTCTTTCCATTCTTGCATTGTTCATCATTTGCTCTTAGATTATTAGTTTAATTTCATGCAACCATCCCCAATCAAGCGAGTAGAATGTCTAGGACCTCGTTTTTGGTTATGTGATTTTGATGGCTAGGTAGTGAACGAAGCCCCGAACACCCTTCCTTTGAGAACAACCCGAGTAGGGTAGCTTGGTTACCACATGCCCAAAAATACTACAAGTAATATGAAGGACTTGGGGAAGCAGTGTTGTGTACAAATTGTTATATTCGTTTCCCGGGTCGATCTCTCGAGGAAGGCGGTTCGGAATTTAGCTTTGGTATCGATTACACAGAAAAAGCAAATAAATCCTAAGCACTCTAATCGGATTGGGGAGGAATTAACTATCAACTAAGAAATAGCATAAAAACATAAATCCTAGAATACCAACTAGATAATAATAAAGAAACTAGGGAATCGAGGATAATTTATTCAAGTTCGCAACGTAAAGCCAGGAAGTTGATCATTCGGTTCGAAATTGACACTTTCGCCTACATGTCTAGCGGTTCGCTCCCAATAACGCTTCGTAACAAGGAATTGAACATAGACGAGCAAGTTCGAGCATACAATACCGGCCAATTATCCAATCCCAATAACTTTTCGTAACAAGGGACAAGACACCGACAAGCATGTATTTCAATCCAAGACTCATAGATTATTCAGTTACGAAATCATCTATCTCATGCGAGCCTAGGTCTACGACTTCTCTCCTTTCGGTTCTAAAAGTCGCTAATTCAATTAGAAGAGAATTAATCAACTAACCATTTAGAATCAACAAAACCCTAACTCGACTAATCAACATTCAATCGTTTCCAATTGCAAGTTCGAAGTGTCACTCTTCGATTTTATCAATCAATCAAACAAGATTTCATTGATTCCTAATCAAATTAACTCGCACAAGAACAAACGAATCAAGCCCGACAGATACGGATTAAACAAGACAATCATCCCCTATCCCTAGCAATCAGAATTAACTACGTAACATCAATTCAACACAATCAATCATTCTCCTCAAATCAACCATTTTCATTAATTAATCAAAAGAGAAAGACTTACAATCAATCCCAAAATTCGAGCGTTGAATCTGAATTACAAGCTTAATCCTAATTATTAAGAAGAAGGAAAAAAAAAATGAAAAAGAATGGTGAAGAGAAGAGGAAAATACGATGAAGAAGAAGGAGAGAATGAGAAAGGGAGTTTTTGTGTTTTTACGGGCCTAGGGTTCGTCTCCCAGAAGGTGAGAGAAATTTTTTTTATCGTTGGTCCCATACGCATATTTATAGGCAAAGTAGACCACGACGTGAGAAAGTGAGGCGCGGCGCGAAGGGAACGGTAGCCGCGGCGCGGGCAGCGCCGCGGCGTGGAGAGAGCTAGTACTGCGGCGCGGGAGTTGCTGTACGGTGTGGTAAAGACTACCTGGGAGCTTCTGTTCACGCGTGGTGTGAGGCGCGTTGTGCAGCGCGACNCGCGGCGTGGGGCTAGGCAGGCTAGTTGGCAGCTCGCACGACTTTACGTCTCGAGCTCGTTTGGACTCGGATTTTGGTTATGCTTTTTTCTGTGTGTTGCCAACGAAACGCTTTATTTAATGATGGTCACCCGGCCCAATTATCATGGAAAATAAATTCTCCCGAAGTTTTCGACCTGCACACCATAAACGAAGAAAAACCGAAAAAACATACGGAAAACACAAGAAAGACTAAGATAGAGGAAAACATGCGATAAACTACAAAACGAGATAAAAACTACTAAAAGACTTAAACTTTTGCTCATCCCACACACTTAAATCTTTGCTCATCCCTGATGGGTCTCCTCTCAGATCTGGAGTGAACCGGTGGTAATGAGCTCAAATATGCTTGAATCGCCCTCGAACCATTGCTAGACCATGATAACATCTGCAAGAACTCAACGCCGAAAGTGTTTCCGGTGTAGAGCCTCCGACGCTCAAGTCAATGCGTGGAAGAGATGAAGAGAGGTTGCTCTGAGAGAGCAACAGCAGCTATGGAGGAGAGTATGGAATGAATGGAACTTAGGGTTTTGGGTTACCTCACCTCCTTTATATAGGAGGAAACACTTACTTGAAGTACCCGAAATGCCCCTGTCGGTTCACCTGAAAGGTCTAAATTACCCCGGTCGATTCGTATCCTCTCATTGCTTAGTCATGGCAAGATTCCTTCTTATCCATTGGAAGACGAGAGGTTCTCAGAAATGCCACAAGTGTGTTGAGTCATCGGTTCATTTCACTTCCCGAGCTACGAGGAGTCGACCTCGAGTATGGAGGAGTCGACTTAGGATCTTCTGGCTATTCGGAGGCTATGCTCTTGTTGGTCTTCTCAAATAGATGTCGACTATTGGGAAGTCGACTGCATGGAGTCGACTTGTAGGGGACCTGCCACTCTTCGCAGTCATTCCTATGAAGAGTCGACTTTGCGGAAGTCGACTTGGGTATGTCGACGTGTGAATAGTCTGAGCAACTATCCGGTCGGGTAGAGAGCACTTGGGCCGGTATATCATAATATGGCTATATCATCTAGTCCCCCCCAAAAATTACTCTAAGCAGTCGAATGCTTAAGAGTAAATTTGGTGGTCAAGTGCCGCGCTTATTTGACTTAAGTCACCATATCCATTTTTGCTCGTCGTGTCGATGACTCGTCTCGTCATTTGTCCAGAATACCTTCTCATCCCCATATAATTACCTTTTAGATAAATATGACATTCTGACATTCTTTTTGAATTTCAAATTTCAAACTCCTGAAGCGACGTGCGTCCTTTCAACTGCCGCCTCTCCGTCCCCGCACCTGATATTCATCACTGTCATTCGCCGCCGCCTCGACGGCGGCTCTCGACTCCATCAATCTCGCCGTATACCACTGTGTAGATGCTCCAGTTCACCATGTCCGACCCCGATTCCGACACGGCGACACCATCTCCGACTACAATTGTAGATCTCGTCGCCGTTTGAAGACTGCTCATCGTCTCCGCATAATAATCGTCCACAGCGTCCTCGACCCGCCCCTGCGACCGTGGAGCTCCCAGAACACGACAAAGAGACCACCGCTGAACAGTGGTTTCGAACAACTGTCAGCCGGACCTCGAAATTTGAACACGGAGATGTCGCGATGACGGAGGCGGCCAATTTCGTGATGATTCAGACGGCAACGGGGCATTCGACGGTCAGATTCATGGAGATTCCGACGGCTACGGGAAGTGCGCGCGTGTGTGTGTGCATATGAACTGTGTGTGCTCGCATGTGGTCTCTGTGAACGGCGGGTGATGGCGGGTGAACGGCGGTTGAACGGCTGCCGGAGATGGAGAGACGCGGCGGAGCTGTGTAATATGTGTGTATATGTGTGTGTGATTGATGGAGAAGATGAATGAGGGGTAGGTGTGGTGTCCGTAATTTATGTTTGATATTAATCATTAATGTGTAGTGGTGGGTCCCACAATCTTGTTGGATTTGAATTAAATGTCCAAATTACCCTTAATTATTCGTCAAATACATATATTTGACCACAATATGATCAAAATTACCAGATTGCCATTAATGATTGACCATAATTTGACTTCATCATAACCATTAATATGCTTGATCCCATGGTCCGAACTTATTCTCATTTCTCGCATTAAGAGTCATTCTCATATGATCATTTCTCTCTCTATATATATATACATATCTTTATATAAAGTAAATAAATAAACGCAGTATTATACCACTATAATATGCTTTCAATTTGTATATTTTAATCAAAAGAGAAATATAACCTCCGATTTAGGTTATCTATCATTGCCGGAAAAAAATAAAAAAACCTCCAAATTTAGGTAAATAGATATATAATATTATTTGACATATTCCTTATAATCGCAGACTTTATTACAAAGTTATATATTATTTTATATAGTTGCAATACGTTAAGTCAATAATTTTAAATATTGTACTTTTTTAACTGATTTAGTTAAAAGTTGATATAAATTATGACCTCACCAACCATAATCTTGCAAATCAAATATCATTGCAAAAAAATAATTTTAAGTAACATGTGAATAATATATAAATCAAACATATACCAAAGAAAATTGGTATAACTATAGTTTTTATTTTATTTAAAATTACAATTTTCATATTTTTCTTTTTTTCTATATTTAGAATATTATTTTATGTAGTATATTTTCTCCTATTAAAATTTTTATATATAATGTTATATTAAATACATTTTCTGAATTATATTATGAATTTAAATAATTTAGTTAACTAAATCAACTAAATATGCAAAAAGAAAAAAGAAATACTTTTAAATTAAGTTGTTGACACCCGAGTTCGAGAGCCGAACCGGAAGACCCGGTCCACTCGGAAAGTGCCGAGCTGGACCGGAATATTTCTTGACCTAGACGTCCCCATGAGTCCGTCTGCCAGTCCGGCGTTTGGGACTACGAAGCCCCGATGCCGACCTGAAGAGTGACGGTCAGGAAGAAAGGTTCCCCAGGGTCGGAGGAACAAGTAAAGAAAAGGTGCCGACTTGGAGTCCCAGGACGGGCCCCTGCAATGAAGGTGTCGACTTCGATAGTAGTATAATAATGCCACTTGGAGGGTAATCATTGGCTAATGGATGGGACGCCCTAGCCTGTTGACCTACTTCCCCTAGCCAAGACATAAAGCCTGTCAGCATTAAATGCCCGTCAGACAATGATGAGGAAAACCTCAAATCGCATTAAATTCTGTCAGGGAGGCGCCGAACTACTCTGCAAAGAACACTGTACGACAAGACCGATGAACAGTACCTGAACAGTGCCACATTTAAGGCAACTATATAGCAGCCCACTTCATTTATTTTGGGTTGTTGAAACTCAACTGTAAGGAGCTCTTTCTATATTTTCTCTCTCTAAGACTTGTAAGAAATTTGTGTAAGAAATCTAAGTATATCGCAAGTGCCGACCTCGCACGAGAGGCCGACCTCGTGATCTTTTAATAAAACTGCAATTAACCGTATTTCCTTGTCTTTTCCTTATTTCTTTTCCATTATTCACCTTTTTAACCGTTGACCGGAAACGCCCGTCAACAGTTTGGCGCTAGAGGAAGGGGATCATAAGTTATTTGGTGTCAACTTTTCGATCTTGTAAAGCTCCACACCACGCTCATCTTTTTCCCCACTTTTTCGCTTTCTAAAGCCACTCAAAATGCCTTCATCTGGACATGACGATTCCACCCAGCAATCCGGCTCCCAGCCTCGCCGCCGCAACGGCGGGGAGTCCTCCCGTCGCGTTCAGCAGGGGCCCATAGTCCCTGTCCCCCCAGTTCCGACATTCGCTGCAGCTTTGCAGCATCCTGACGTCCTCAAAGCCCTCGAGGGGGTCTTCGCCAAGGCCCTCGCCAGTCAAACCGCCGGGGCGAACACTGTAGTGCCCACGGAGAACCCCGGTAACACGTTGCTCCACACTCCTGAAAAGGAGACCGGTGGACAGAGGAACCCGGCGAAGTCCAAAACCACGGCCCAATCACCGAACCGTGAGGCCCATAACCGCCGCGACAGGAGTACCAGACCGGCTCCCACGGAACAGACAGGGGAGAGCCGGCCGGAGCGAAGCCTCCCGGTCGTTCGTCGCTCTGTCCACCAGCGCCTGGGTGACAAGAGCCACGCCAACCATGATCTCCGGGAGGTGATCAGACGCGGCAAAGCCATCGGCCACGACACTGAGGAGGTCGCAGCCCTCAAACGCAGAATTGCCGAATTGGAAGGTCGGCAACCCACAGGGAGTGAGCTTTCACTCCCAGCTCATCAACAAACCCATACGCGGCCCACTCCTCGGGTCGCGGATAACGCCTCACCCCTCTCCCTCGACATCCTGCAAGAGGCCGTCCCAAAGGGAATACAAATACCCCAGCTCTGCCTCTACGACGGGAGCTCGGATCCCGACTCGCACCTCGGCCTTTACACCTCATGGATGGACCTGCACGGCGCCTCCGATGCCCTGCGCTGCCGAATGTTCTCTCTGACGCTGGGGCCCAAGGCGCAGAGGTGGTACCATTCCCTTTACCCTCGCTCCATCTCGGCCTGGGCACAGCTCAGGTCGGCATTCCGGTCCCACTTCATCGGGTCACAGGTTAATCTCGCCCCCAAAGAATCAATCTCCAACATTGTGCAGGGCGAGAATGAAAGCCTGAAAGACTACATCGCTCGATTCAACGACCGGGTACAAAACATGGAGCGGTGCCACCCTGACGCCCTGCTCATCACGGCCCAGGGTGGCCTCAGACCAAAGACGCTGTTCAGGTGGTCCCTGTGCCAGAACAAACCGACCACCTACCAGGAGTTCCTCACCCGCGCTCAGGATTATATCATGGCGGAGGAATCCTCATCCATCCCGACCTTCGACGCCACACCGGCACCGGCACCGGCAAAGGCGAAGGCAAAGGAGGAAAAATCGGGGAAGCCGAGCAAGTCCTTTGCTGAGATTCGAGCTCAGCGGAAGCAAATGGCCGAAGAGCTGAGGGAGAGCTACCAGGGAGTCTTCTCGGTAGGGGCTGCGGCGGTCTACGAGGAAATCAAGGCCAAGGGGTTATTACCGGACCCCAAGCCGATGTTCACCGACAAAGACAAAGTAGACAAGACCCGCTACTGCACCTACCACAAGGCGCACGGGCATAATACTGATCAGTGCCGGAATCTTATCTCGGCACTTCTGAAGCTGATCGATGACCCCCAACTTCGGAAGTTCACTCACTCCGGAGACAAGAGAAAGAAAGGGGGGCGCTTTGAGGAAAACCCCGACAGTGACGAGGATGCCGACGTAAATCCTCGAAGAAAGAAGTCGCAGCAGGGCGGCCCCCATGAGATCATGACCTTCTGCCCCATCCATCAAGATGAGGCCGGCACCTCCAGGGGCAGAAAAAGAGACCGGTCCCCTCACACCGGGGCCGACCCGGCCAACCTCCCGACCCGGCGTGTCAACACAAGCCGGAGCGAGTCCCTCCTCTCCCGGAGACAAACCAAGGCCTACGCCCGACAGGCCTACCACGCCGGGCAAAGGGTGATGCATGCCCACAGTAGACCGGCACCGGAGCCGACCCCAAACACCATCACCTTCAACGACGAAGACGCCTTCCTGTTCGACCATCCCCACTCCGACGCCCTGGTGATCACGGCGCCGATCATGGCGATTAAGATCCATCGCATCATGGTCGACACCGGGGCCTACGCCAGCATCCTCTACTACGAGACCTTCAAGAAGATGGGGATCGATAGGAAGGAGGTACAGCCTTGCCGGGAGCGGATCCAGGGTTTCAACGGCCAGACCATCGCCCCGGTTGGTCAGGTCACGCTACCGGTCCGGTTCGGAGAAAGGGGGCAGCCCACGAAGACGATCTTGGAAACCTTCAAAATCGTGGACTGCCCAAGTGAGTACAACGCCATACTGGGCAGGACGGCGCTCTACAAACTGAAGGCCGCCGTCTCCATCTTTCATTACTCTCTCAAATTCCCAACTCCCGACGGGGAGGGGACACACCGAGGAGACCAAAGGGAAGCGCGGGAATGCATCCTGACCATCCCGCGCACCGAAATAAACATGGCGAACCTACGGGAAGACGCCGGGATGGCAGACACCGAGTCGGCACACGACGGTGACGGGGGCAACCGCATGCTGGGAAACCAGACAGGTTCGCATCCCCTGACCTCCACGGGTGCCGACCCGACAGCCGCGGAGCCCAATGCTGGAGCAGATAACTCTGCTCCAGGCGCCGAGGTGACGGATCCCGCCGAGGACGGCGTCGAAGACGACCTCGACGGGGACAGGGGGAGAAGGGCTGGCAAAAGACCGGTCACGGAGGAAGACGAGCTCGACTCTCGGACTCAATACGAAGAAAAACGGGGGACGAAGAGGGCCGAGCCAATGGACGAAGTCGAGGTCATCTTCATCGACGAAGAGACCTGCCAAAAACAACTCCGGATTGGGAGCAGGCTGCCAGGGCCTATGAAGGCCGAACTGACCGAGTTTCTCCGGAAAAACGCAGACGTCTTTGCGTGGACCCACGAGGACATGGTCGGCATCGACCCACAGGTCGCCTGCCATCGGCTGCAGGTCGACCCCACAGTCAAGCCGGTCGTGCAAAAGCGGAGGAAGCTCGGCCCCGACCGGCAGCAAGCCCTAGAAGAAGAGGTGACCAAGCTCAAGG